ATATGTATATATATATATACGTATATATATATATATATTGTGTGTGTGTGGTACGCGGGCCTCTCACTGCTGTGGCCCCTCCCGCTGCAGAGCACAGGCTCCGGACGCGCAGGCTCAGCGGCCATGGCTCACGCGCCCAGCCGCTCCGCGGCACGTGGGATCTTCCCCGACCGGTACACAAACCCATGTCCCCTGCGTCGGCAGGCGGACTCTCAACCACTGCGCCACCAGGGAAGCCCAGAAGGGAATATATTTTAAACTTTTATAAGATACAGTTTCTTACATTCTGTTCCAGAACTGGTCTCTGAATCATCAACTCTCAGGAATCTCACTAGGAATGCTCCCCCAATGACTTGCCTTCGTCTAACAGCATCAAGGTAATTGATTAGACATAAGACAAGCAGCCCAAGATACAGGATGCAGCCATGCTTTTACAGCTCATATTTTCTGCCTTTCTACCACCACAGTGGAAGGGGGAAAAAATCCTCGCAATTCCCTAAGAGATGTGTTCTTGCACATAAATTGGCATTTAGGCTCAATTAGATACTGAAGACCTGGTCCTTTAAAGCCATGCAAGGAAGTCCCAGGCAGACAGGTTACTGCTGCTACATATGCATCGGCCCCTCTCATCTATGTCCAATCTACTGCTTGGCAAGTGGCCGTCTGGCTTTTTTGCGCTCAGAGCTATAACCTAATGAAAGGGCAAAAGGTGAAAGAAATACCTGATAAGGAGGAAGAGGAAGGAAAGAAAAGAACACAAGGCTTTACCTTACCGTCTACTTGACTGGACTCCCAGCAGGCAGGCTATCATACGAGAGAATCCCAATGAAGGATCTAGCATAGAGCACACAACTGCGAAGCTCTTCTCCTTAACAGCGGACTCAGTTAATGTATGAAGAGAGTTGGTTAAACACGCAACAGCAAAGTAAGTGATGGCTAGAGCTCCCCAACCTCCCTTGCCGCCTAGACAAGGATTCCTGTGGCCACAGATAGATTAGTGCATGCCAGGCATAGTTCTGAGCACTTTACAGCCATTGCTCATTTCATACTCATAATATATTATCTTTGCTTTGCAGATAAGGAGAATGAGGCACAGAGAGGTTAAGTAACTTGCCCAAACTCACACAGCTAGTAAGTTACACAGAGCCTCAAACCTAACACTGACAATTGTTCCCTAACTCCTTGTTCATTGTTTCCCAAAACATTACCTTTAAATTGCTTTCTCTCATTTAAGAAATGAAGATTATGCTAACTCAAGAGTCAACAGAATATGTCCTCAAAGGTATGTAGGAAAAAAAAGATAGCCCTCATGGAAGCATGAACCTTGAAAGGACTCTGAAGCATTACCAGGTTTACAGCCACCTTCTTAGCACCCAATTTTTGGTTTCATTAGTTGGATGACTAAAGTAAGCACAGGAGTTTGCTCTTTATTTTCCAGTTTCTGGAAGAGCAAAAAAAAGTGAACTTTCTCCCCTTGGACGATACCATGAGACACAGAGGGTACATAGAACCCTCCCAAAATAGGAAGCCTTTTGACAAGCCTTTTGAAACAAATTTATCTTAAAATATTTGACTTGGACACTGATTCTATATGGAGATTTTAATACTCAGTAAAGGCAGGACACGATATGGAAACACCTACGGTAAAAAGAAGAGGATGGGGCGTTAGCCAAGCCAGAAGGATAAACCAGATAAAACACAGGGAAAGATTCCAAAATAAGAAAGAAAGTGGTATAGGTGCCAAAGACTCCCACACCAAAATTACTGCAGCTTTACATAACTGAAATAATTGCATCTTGATAGTATCTGTAGTGATCAAAATTAGCCCACAAACTGTGGACTTAAGTTTTGAGAAGAGTCTCCTTCACATATCTGTCTAGAACGAAGAGAATTCGCTAGTATTTATCTTTGGACACATTGTGGCTCTTCGTTAATACTCAGTAGTCACATAGTTTCTTCACATTGAGGTTATCTGGTTCCAAATGTAGAAGTGAGTTTTCTTCTCTAGCTGTGAGTGGGTGTATATGAGAGAAAAAAGACAGCAACTGAGCATGGGTGTGCCCAATTATGGGAGGCACCAAGAATCAGAGAGTGACCCATTGCAAGAGTGACTGAGCGTGAGAGCAACCAAGTGCAAGCACGACCCATCACAAAACAGACCACGCATGAGTGACTAACAGCGAGAATACGCAAGGGCAAGTGTGACCTATCGCGAGAATATCGTGAGCGAGGCTAAGCACAAGCATGACCCAGTATGTCCTAGGGCTTTGGGTGGTCCAGCAGATGGTGGCTATGTATAAAGAGACTCTTCCCGCAAATACTTCTAAGTTCTGAGTTCAACAATAAATTTTCAGGTTGAGAAACAAGAACAAGTTCTTTGAAAAAGAGTAATTATCCATCAGGAGTTGCCTGGGATCAAGGACCAGTGAAGCACCACCTTGTCCAGTGGAAGTCTTCTCAAGGAGACCACTATCCTCAATGCCTGGATGAAGGTCTTCAGCCTCGGCTCACCCATCCTCAGTGCCCTGGCCTTACGGAACCCCACAGGGAACCCAAGGGCTGGGGAGGAGCCATTTCCAACAGAGCAGGCAATTGCTTCCAAGATTTAAAGCCAGGGGATTTCAAGACGTCTGACTCATATTATCAGTAAAGCAACTTACAGTTTTGTCTTTCCTAAAAATTGTGACAAAGACTTTAATTTCATATTATGTCAAGAGTTTTGTGGCGCCAAGAAGCTTTCCAGTACTGAACACTCCTATATGAATCCCCCAGAAACCAGACGGCAAAAGCAGCAATCACAGCTACCACCTTTTGGGTCAAAATTTTGATTAAAACCAACTGACAACGAAAACATATTTTATTAGCAGTAAGATCAAATCCAGAGCATATGTCAAAGCTGTAAAGTCATAATTTCTCTAGATTACAGCTGGAAGCAGTAATTTTATAACTTGGCCCCTCCCTAGCCCATAAATCCAAATATAGTTCAGACAGTCTCTCTGAGCTACAGGGTGATATCCCACTCAAGGCGGGTGCTATCCTGCTCAGTGCAAGACCCTGGGGAGGTGCTCCTTTCTCTGGGGTCCCACTCCCCCAGCAGGGCTACGCCAGGGCTCCCTGCTCCCGCCTGTTTATGGACCTGGGCGTGTCTCCCAGTCCAGGGCCGGGATCAGGTGTCACAGGAGTACTGTGCTCCTGCATGCCCTGCATCAGCTGTTAAAGGGCAGACATGCCCCTGGAGTGGTCTAATTAGCTGCTATAAGGATGTCATATTTTGCCAGCAATAATCAGTACCAAGTCATTTTTAGACATGAAAATAGCCCTTCAGAGGTGGCGCCCTCCTTCTGTGTGCCGCTCGTGCTTCAGTCACTGCCACAAAGAGCTGATTCCCATTTATTTTTTAATCCAACCAGAAGTCACCTGGCTTATATTCATCTGCTAGCTGACCATGCCCACATCTAACTAGTCTTCTTACTCAGTAATGCCATGCACATATGCCCGTGGCCTCTTCCTGACTCCTAATCCCAGTGCCACTGTCTGAATTCTCGTCCTTACTATGGTTTGCTTGGATTAGTGACGCCGTCTCCAAAAAACCCTCAAGTCGATCCACCACTCCTCCTAGCCACTATCACAAGATTTTTCTGGAACACAGCCCTGCTCCAAGCTCAGAGGGGCTGACAGTTCTCCACAGGCAAGACTTCTATCCAGGCAAATTAATCTGCTTCTCCCATTGCAAAACAGGATCAAGAACTATGCTCACCCTGAGGCTAAGATTACTATTTTGCTTACTAGTTCAGTGAAAATCCAGGTGCTAAAAAAAAAAGGAAAAAAAACCCCGCATTAAGTGTTAAGGAATGAGCTAAGTAAGCATTTTTTTCCTCAAGTAGTAGGAACTATACCAAAAATGTTTTGTGGAATGGTGATAAACATACACAAACTGGATGGACCTTGAAGTTCTTAGCACTGGGATTGGCTATGCTTATTGCTCAGAAAGCTATTTATAAAGGTTTTGTGGGCTTCCCTGGTGGCGCAGTGGTTAAGAATCCACCTGCCAATGCAGGGGACACGGATTCAAGCCCTGGTCCGGGAAGATCCCACATGCCACGGAGCAAATAAGCCCGTGCGCCACAACTACTGAGCCTGCACTCTAGAGCTCACAAGCCACAACTACTGAGCCCACGTGCGACAACTACTGAAGCCTGCGTGCCTAGAGCCCATGCTCCGCAACAAGAGAAGCCACAACAAAGAGAAGCCTGCACACTACAAGGAAGAGTAGCCCCCACTCGCCACAACTAGAGAAAGCCCGCGCGCAGCAACGAAGACCCAAAACAGCCATAAAAAAATAAATAAATAATAAAAAAATAAAAATACAAAGGTTTTGTGAAGACCTAAAGCATTACAAAAACTGTGCACTATGTTACACAAATTTTTATAATCTGAGGATCTTTTGTAAATAGAAACCTCTGGTATATAACTCAAAATCCACCCAGATACAAACTGTAACAAACTTTAGACATTTAAAAATACAACACAAAAGACAGCACCTTGGCCATGTCCATGTCAGGAAAAGTCCAAAAGGAATGAAAGAGGCTGAGGCTGAATTAAAAATCCCAGCAAAAAACCCCACAAAACTCTATTAATCAAGAGGGCATTAATGTTTAACTTATCTAGTGGGTGCTAGTATCACAACTCCTTACTCTCAAACACACAAAATTATCAGCAGAAATGGAATCATACTTGTTTTTCTTTAAAAAAAAAATTCTTTCCCAGTAATGTTACTCCATAGAAGAGCAAACATTAGTAAGATCCACAGCGGTCAAATGGGAAGAAATGAGCGGTAATTTTTACACACTGGAAGAGTTGGTTTTTCATAAAAGTATAATTTTAGAGAAATGTGTGAGTCAGCTGCGATCAGGAACCTTGTGTCAAGCTCGATAATGAAAAAGCCCCTTTTGTCTTCATGGGCTCAGTACAGCCCAGCCCCTGTTAAAACCCTGACATGCTGTGCAGCTAACCAATCTCTTATACTGGGGGTGTGGGATTGGGGTGAGGGAACAGCAAAAAAATATAAATTGAAAACAAAATGAATACGTTTCCTGAAACAAAGCCAAAATCTGAATAATCCTTAGGTAATGACCATTTATGCAGCTGACAGTTTTCCAAGTTTTTCTTTCCACCCTTTTTAAGTAACATGGGGATCTGGTCCAATTTTAAAGCCAGAGATTACTCAGAACTATTTTTAGGTCATTTCATCCCATTTTTAGTTGACTTGTGTAACCTAGGCGGTAGTTTCATTTCAAAGCTGCAGTGGAAGACATGCCTGAGTTCTCCGCGCACCAGTGCCAGGATGCAAGCCTCCGCCCTCCCAGGAAACTGGCCAGTGATATTCCATCTCCCTTCCTGCTGTCAGCTTCTTGGTAACGCAAGTTTTCCTTCCTTTAGTAGTGGGTTAATCATGGTCCTCCCTCCCCGCAAATATATGTCCATGTCCTGATACCCAGACCTTGGGAATGTTTTCTTACTTGGAAAAAGGGTCTTTGGAGATGTAATTAAAGGTCTTGAGGTATGATTCCCAGGGCGGGCTCTAAATCCAATGATATATATGTCCTTTTGAGACAGACGGAAGAAGATACAGACACAGAGGAGAAGGTCACGTGAAGACAAAGGCAGAGACTGGAACGATACCTCTACAAGCCACAGAACGCCAGGAACTACCAGAGGCTGGAAGATGCAAAGATCCTCCCCCAGAACCTCCAGAGGAAGCGTGCCCATCAGGGTGCCGACACCCTGATGATGGACGTCTGGCCTCCAGAACTGTGAGAGAATAATTTTCTATTGTTTTAAGCCACCCAGTTTGTGGTCATTGGTTTCAGCAGCCACAAGAAACTAATACATTCCAGATACACAGATAAAGTATTCTCATTTCTAACATTACTTAAACAGTAACGGGGACCAGCTTCACATCTTTAGAGCAATCTAAGCATTTCGTCTCTATAGTTATATTAAATAAGACTGAACACAGACATTGCTTCACATATTCAATACTGTGCAAATACCCATAGTTGAAAAGACACAAGAGGTTGATGGACAGAATTAGCATGTTCACTTCAAGAAAAAGAAAGAAAAAAAAAAGACAGACATTTTTCAGTATTGCTTTAGAAAATATGGATTAAAAGGGAGAAAGCTTGTTTCAGTCAAAGGCAGATGGCTCTTTCAGAAATAAATCTGAAATTGTTGACCATCTTCCTTAGATTCACATGTTAGGAAGCAGGTTGGGAAGATGCCTGACTCTAAAATCTCTCTCACACACATTTTAATGACTCATTATTTTGTGCGAATTTGCTTTTCTTCCTATATAGAAATACAACCACACTTCAGCTTTATTATAGAGTGTAATTCTCAAAAGGACGTAAAAGAAAAACCAGACCCACAGATATAGAAAACAAACTAGTGGTTACCAAAGGGGAGAGGGGAAAATTAGGGGTATGGGATTAAGAGATACAAACTCCTACGAATAAAAAAGATAAGCAACAAAGATATATTGTATAGCACAGGAAACTGTAGCCATTATCTTGTAATAACTTAATGGAGTATAATCCGTAAAAACACTGAATCACTATGTTCCAACCTGAAACTAACACATTATAAATCAACTATACTTCAATTTTTTAAAAAGGGGGTAGAAGAGATAGGTAGCTGCTCCGGGAAGAAAGAACTGTAAGAGAACAGATGGCAGCGGGGGACCACTGAACGCCTAAGAGGACAAGACGTGCACGACAAGATAGAAGATCTTCAAAGACAATGCTCAAAATGTGGGCAAAGGAAATTAATAGACACATCACGGAAAAGACCTAAGTCAAAAGTTCACAGGAAGATGGTACAGTTCACTATTAATATCTCACGTGCATGTTTTTCAAATTTTCACAATGTTTTAAGATACAAGGAGACTCCTCATACCCAAATACTGACCTGTAAGGATGTTCTGCAACATAAGTGTGTCTTCCAACCTAACTACATTAACACAAGTAAACCTCAAAATGCTTACTAACTTGAATGATAAATTGTAAAAGTAACATTTATTTTACTGAATGCCAAGACTACTGAAGACCAAAAGTGTTCTTTAGCTTATAAATGGTCCACTTGTAATTTGCTAGCACAACTTTAGAAGTGCTTTCAAGGGGGGGAAAAAAACACTCAAAATATAAACAAACTCTCATCTTCAATAAGACTCCATTACTGTAAAAGGTTAAGGATGGATCTTAAATAGCTCATAAACAGAGAAAGTATGCCTGGATTGATTTAAGAAACCTGTAAAATCTTATAGATTTACTTACCCTAGTATAAATTTCATCACTAACCTTTACATAATCATAGAACTGAGGTAGGCACATTGTCCAACACTTAAATTTGGTTTAAGGTAATTACTAGTCCCAAATATAAAAATTACCTATCTCTAGAACAAGTGGGTAGATATTAAAAATAAATTCAGTCTACCTTTACTGTTGAATCAGTATTGCTTCCATAACTATTGATGAAAACTTGAAAAATACTCTCCATGGAAAAATATTCTAATATCAAAAAATTTTTCATCTGAATATTAGCATATTAAGATATAACTGATTAATACTGATAATTTCCTTATTTTTAGACTGCATACAGTGAAATTATGATATGCAGAAATGATAAATGTCTCATATATTTTAAAACTAAAACTAAGTAGTGGGACTTCCCTGGTGGTCCAGTGGTTAAGAATCTGCCTTCCAATGCCAGGGACGCAGGTTCCATCCCTGGTCAGGGAACTAAGATCCCATGTGCTGCAGGGCAACTAAGCCCGCTTGCTGCAACTACTGAGCTTGTGCACCACAACTAGAGAGCCCACACGTCACAATTACTGAGCCTGCGCACCACAACGAAAGATCCCACGTGCCTCAACTAAGACCCGACGTAGCCGTAAATAAGTTAATTAATTTAATTAATTAATTAATTATGTTTTTTAAAAAAGTAATGACTTGTCATCATGGTAAAGATAGGAGGAGATTATAAAATAATGCTGCTAAATGATGAGAAAGAAATATAGGCTAAATTACAATATTGCTTCTAGATTAAATTTGTAATTTCATTTTTAAAAATCCATTAAGATTTTCATTTTCAGAGAGGGATGGGGAAGCAACAGAAAGATAAAACTGTTTAAGTAGGGTTAATTTTATAGTATGTGAATTATATCTCAGTAAAAAAGTGAGAAAGACTTGGGCACACACCACAAAAAAAGTCTGGGAGGCATTTATTTATAGCCCATCATACTGCCTTAAATTAAAGGTGTTTCTTAATTTGCCAAAAATATTTACACTCAGTTGGCTTATACTTAAATTTTAATGGACTGAATGCATCAATAAAGTGTATTCTGTTGGCTTTTGCTGTCATTGTTCCATCTACAAACAAAACAAACAAAAAATTAAGCCACTGTCCAAATATTAGGAACAATTTATAATGTGTGTAAAGATCTAGAGTTCATTAAAGTTTGATAATAAATAGTCTCAAACCATCAGTACATTATTTACTATTAGGATTATTTACAGTAACAGTAAAATGTTATGGAGGGGGATAAAGTTAATGGCCTCCATCACGTTATCTAGAAGTCATAGAATGCAGCTTCTTTGGAAATCAAGAGGATTTAGTCAGTGCCTAAATACAAAGGCAAGGGCTATACAATGTGGCAGCTAAGAACACAGGGCTCTGGTTTGGGGCCTATCTTTAGTAGACCCAAATCTACTACTGCCTTTAAGACCTTGCACAAATTACATCATCTTAGTTGCAGTCTTCTCATCTGTAAAGTGGGGATAATACAATTTATGGTTCTTGTGCACTAACCCACGTGAAAGCAACAGGCACAATGCCTGGCCCAGGGTGGGCAATTACAAATGTTAGTTGTGCCCCTTAGTTGCCTTGGCTCTGTTCCATAGCTACAGGTTAGGCTAGGCACCCTAGAAATGCTTGTTGTTGATAACACTGGGTCATCAAGTAAGAATGTGAGTGCCGTTCTTGAAAGTGTGCTGACCCCGAACTCTCATACATGGCTGGTTGGAAATCAGTTTGTCAGGCTGAGTAAAGCTCTACTCGGGTTGACATATGCGTACCTTACAACACAGCAAGTCGGCTCCTAGGAATATATTCTACAGAAATGATTACATATGTTCACCAAAAGAACCAGACTGTTGATAACAGCACTATTCATAAAAGCCCCAAACCAGAGACAACCTGAATGCTTATCAATACTAGAACAGACAAGCAAATTGTGGAGTATTCATCAGAGGGAGTATTAAGGATGAACAAACTAACCCATGCAGTGACGCGGATGGACACAAGAGTCCATCGTGTATGTTTCCATTTCTATCAACTACAGTAACAGGCAAAACTGAGATGGTGCTAGAAGTCAGGATAGTGCCCCTCAGAGGAGGACAGTCACCAGAAGGGACCATAATAGGTGACTCTGGGGTACAAGATGGCTGTATTTCTTGATCTGGTTACATGCACTAGTTTAATCTGTAAAAATTCAAATGCTGCACCCTTAGGATATATACACTTTCCTGTACACATATTATACTTCACTAAAAATTTTTTTAAAAAATCGATCTCTACTGCTGACAAAAACAAAAAGTCTGCGCCCTGCCCAAGGCCATGTACCCAGGACAGCCCAACCACTCTAATCCCTGGCCCTGAAGGCCACAGACCTGTATCAGCCTAACCACTTGTCAAGAGGGTACATGGGTCAGATGCAACTCCCTCTCCCACCCATGATTTCTTCACTCAGCGCTAAGGCTGGCATTTCTCTGTTGCTTTTCACATGTTTGAAACTGGGTGCTTTTCCCTGGCATAGTTCTTCTCTTCTAGACTTTGGCTATCATCTATACGGGAGGAATCTTCAGGTAAATAAAACACATACTTCAGGAAACAGCTGAAATGAACTTATTGACATCGAACTCTTTCCAGTAAACATATCTTACCTCAGGCAAGTCATTTAAAATAAGTGTCCACATTAAAGATACAATTTTAAAGAAATTAACCCTTAAAAGAATCATTTATTTGTAAGCAACTGAAATGAATGTTAGCAATTTATAGGATTTTCTAATTATCAGGTGTACATCATACCATATCAACCTTAGTAAAATTTATAAGGTATCTGAAATATTATTTTAAAAATAAAGCACATAAAAAAATTGTTCTCTGAAATTTTGTACATTCAATTTTAAGACATCAAAATGACTGTTTCTCTGGACCATTATACATGAGAAATAATTTCTTTTTAAAGTAAACATATCATCATAAAAGAATATTTCAGTCAGTGATACTCCCTCCCATCAGTGGAGCACAGGGGATTTTTTAAGGCAGTGAAACTATTCTGTAAGATACTGTGATGGTAGATACACGTCATGAGAGATTTGTCCAAACCCACAGAATGTACAACACAAAGAGTGAACCCTAAGGTAAATGATGCACTTGTAACTACAATAATGTATCAACAGATACAGGTTCATCAGCTGTAACAAACGCAGCACACCACAATACGAATCACAGGAGAACTAGGACAGGCAGGAGAAGGAGAAGGAGTATTATGGGAATGCTGTACCTTCTACTCAATGTTTCTATAAACCTAAAGCTGCTCTAAGAATTGAAGGCTATTAATTTAAAAATAAAAAAAAATAAATAATGCTCCTTCCCAGCTTTTAAGATTGCCACATTTCACTTTGCTGGTTTTGCAGGAAACACCCATTTGAGAACACAAAAGCAGCGGGAAAGGACCAAAGCTTTCATACATTTTCAAGGGTTTACAATTATTATATACTCAAACATTTTTCACCCATTACTAGTAACTATATAGACACAATTTTAAAAATTCATTATGGAGAATAACTATCTTAGTTTTGTTTTTTTGTTTTTTGTTTTAACTGGGCTGGCATACTGCTCTTCTGTGTAAGAAAATATAATACAAAGTGTATTCAAATAAAAGCAAGAATAAGGGTTGACTTTAATACCTCAGGGAGAAATCCGATCGATTGGGTCCATAAGGAAAGATGTATGCATTAGGTGCTCCCTAATTACGACTGCTTTGGTGGGCAGCAGCGTTGGTGAAACAGATGTTGCAGACCTATTAAAGAAGGGGTTTCAAACATCTGCTTACAATTTTAAGGCAATTGTAAATACAGCAGAGAAGGTCAATTGGGCCAATTAAGGCCGATGTGCAAATCCACCACTGCAGGTTTCTTTTCAAGCTTACATGGACTTGATTTTTTATGCTTCTATTTTCTTCAACCACAATTTTTTTTTTAAACACAGGAAATGGGTTTAATAACAACTTTTGCCCATTTTGATTGTGATTTTTTTTAAACTTGCAACAAACTTTCTGTTCAAGGCACTAACTGCACACCTCTTCTTTCATGATGACCCATTGGGTGTCCCCCCCTCCCCCTCCACGCCTGCTGCTTGGCTCCCTGCAAAGGGGGTCCACACTGCTGCAGGTTCCCAGGGAGGCAACCAATAACCAGAATGAACAAGGGCAAGCATCACCTCCAGAAGGGTCACTACTATGATCTGTGATTTAACAGTGGTCTGAGCGTCGCTGACATTGCAACCAGGAGAATTTGCTATTTCTACTGTAGGCATCTTCACCACCCTTAATTGTCCCTCGGGAAGAAAAGCTCACGCCAGTCAGAGATAATATGAGGAAGGCCGTCCCGGGAAATTCTAGGCAGTGCTTCAAAGACCAAGGCTGGTTTCCTGCTCAAAGGCTGGCACAGGGTGGAGTGAGACTCAGAGGGAGGTGCAAGGTCAGCGAACAGGCAGGGTTTCCACCCCAAACATTAACAGGTAATTTTTTTTTTTTTGCGGTACGCGGCCCTCTCACTGCTGTGGCCTCTCCCGCCGCAGAGCACAGGCTCCGGACGCGCAGGCTCAGCGGCCATGGCTCACGGGCCCAGCCACTCCGCGGCATGTGGGATCTTCCCGGACCGGGGCACAAACCCCGCGTCCCCTGCATCGGCAGGCGGACTCTCAACCACTGCGCCACCAGGGAAGCCCGGTAATTTTTTTTTAACCTGAAAGCTTAATAGCTTGATTTTTAGGGTCACTAAGTAGATATAAATGTCCAAGAAGCCCCAAAATGGCCTGCTTTGATGGGAATAAGAAATAAACCTGACCTACCTTCTATCCCATGAGCTCAGAGAGATGGCAAATTTTTTGGTGGCCCACACCACTGTTTTATTCTCTTTATATATAGAGAGAGAGACAGAGAGACCAAAAAAAGCAAGCTTAGGCAGACCTAGGTTCAAATTCAAATTCTGTACTTGCTAGCTGAGGGACCTCAAGGTTTGTTTCCTCATCTATAAAATGGGAATACCGCCACCTTCCAAAGCGTTAAATGTTGACACATAGTAGGCAGTCAGTAAATGCTGAGTTTCTGACCTTCTTCTGAGACCTGCAGGCTCTCCACCAAGACACTCCTAGGGGCTTTGAGCTGTGTTCCTAAGGAGGGGGTTCGGGGAGACACAGTTCTCTTGAGTTTCTATTTGTTTGTTTATTTGGGGGAAGGTCTATTCAGTTTTAGAGCTGTTGATGTTGTCCTTGCTTTGTTTTTAGTAAAACAAAAAAGAGAGTGGATAACGAAAGTATGCACTTAAGTTCTAAGAAAAGAAATCCTTTTGGGAGCAGGATGGAAGAAATAATACTAAGAACGAAGAAAATTCTGAAGGAAAGTCAATATAACACACAGAAATCTAAG